GTTGTTTTTATGGTTGCTTTTGTTGTTGTTGCTTTTGTTGTTGTTGTCAGTGTCGTCGCGAACGTCAACTGCAACACCACCACCTTCCATTCTCTGCGATTTCTCACTGTGTGGTGGGACAGCTATAAAGGACTCCTGGTGATGGTGATGATGATGATGATAATGATGATGATGGTGATAGTGATGATGGTGATGATGACGATGATGATGATGATGATGATGGTGATGATGATGGTGATGATGATGATGATGGTATGTTAACCGTAAATTCAGTGACAAATGACTAATGGTAATGATGATGAAGAATGATGATGATGATGATGATGATGATGATATACTGATGATGATGTAATAATGATGATAATATAATGATGATGATACGATGATGATGATGTAATAATTTAGGGGCGGGCTACATGGTAGTAAGAAATATAACATTTGCCAGGCTTGTTCAATTTCAGCTCGTATTGCACGAGTTTTGTGAAAAGAACAATTGTTCGTAAACTTCCATATCATCCGATGACAATTAAAAAAAATGGATTTAGAAACATGAATTTTTGGTGTTAAGGGCATTTCTAGACCCAGAAAAATGGCACAAACCGTCTCTTGACATCGCAGCGGAAACGGAAATACATTTTGACCGCACTCAAGAGAGAATTTTGCAAGGTGTGGCACGAACTGGTGCTCGGCCAAGTTTTCGTCGCATGTGCCTAATCGTACTTTATACAAATGAGATTGCTAATTGAATCGCAAAGCTGCTTCTTCCTGGCATTCTTCCTCTTTTTCCATGGCAGTTAATAGCTTGTTAATGTTACACAACATACAGTATCTTGTAGTTGTTGGAAGTTATAGGGTCTATTTGTTTTAAAGGTTATACACGTAATAAGCCTGTAGAATGTTGTAAATATCTTGAAAATGTTGTGAAATATTTTTTGAAACGTAAAATTTCTTGGCCATGTTGTATCATTTCTCGTAAAACATGTAAGGACGATGATGATGATGATGGTGACGATGATGATGATGGTGACGATGATGATGATGGTGACGATGATGATGATGGTGACGATGATGGTGATGGTGACGATGATGATGATGATGGTGATGACGATGGTGATGACGACGATGACGATGACTAGACAGTTTCAGTATTTTCTTTCGTATCTTCGGTAAGTTTTTACCATCGTCAAGTTTGCTGCCCTAATTTTTTGTTTTCACCTTTCTATTATTGCATATTATTATTACTATTATTGTTGTTGTTGTTGTTATTACTTTTTATATTACTACTATTTGTGTTTATATCAGTGGCAGTAGTATTATAGTTTTTAGATACTTTTAATAATAATAATTATTAGTAGTAGTAGCAGTGATAGTAGAAGTAGTAGCAGTTGCAGCAGCAGCAACAGAAGCAGCAACAGAAGCAGTTGTATTAGTGGTATCAACAGTAGCAGCATTGGCAGCAGTAGTGGTTTAAATAAAAATAGTAGTAGAGGTAGTAGTGGTAGTAGTAGAGGTAGTAGTGGTAGTAGTAGAGGTAGTAGTGGTAGTAGTAGTGGTAGTAGCATTGTCGTCAAAGCATTTATTTATATCCTCCGAACGCAATCTAATTTCGTTCAGCAGTGTCGATTGGACTGCTTTAAACAGCTGTGTTGTTGTTATGTTGTTGTTGTGTTGTTTGTGTTGTTGTTGTGTTGCTTTTGTTGCTGTGATGTGTTGTTGCTGTGATGTGTTAATGTTGTGACTGGTTAATGTTGTTGTTACAGTGTTGTTGTTGTTATTGTTGTGATAATTTGGGTGTTTTGTTGTACTTGTGTTGTTGTTGCTGTGTTGTTGTGTTGATTTTGTTGCTGTGTTGTTGTGTTGATTTTGTTGCTGTGATGTGTTCATGTTGTTGTTTCAGTGTTATTGTTTTTGTTAGTGTTGTTGTTATTGTTGTAATAATTTGGGTGTTTTGTTTGCATCTGTTGTTGTGCTGCTTTGAATCGCTCTAATGTTGTTGGTGTTTGTAAATGTTTTGTTGTTATTAATGTTTTATTGTTGTTGTGTTTTGTGTATTTGTTGTTGTTGTTGTCTTTTTTGTAATATTTGTTCATGATTTTTGAAACAAATAATACAGTGTCCTTTGGCCATTATGTTATTTTTATGTTGATGTCGGTTCAGTTGTTGTGATTTCTACGTAGTTGCTTTGTTAATGTCTGGATCCAATTGTCGTCGTTGATGTTTCAAATTCATTAATAATGTTGTTGTTGTTGGAGTAAATAGAACATTATTTGTTAATAAATAATATAAAATTGTTATTTAATACCATCGGTCAACAAACGAACGATAAAGAGACAATTTATTTCTCTATAAAGTATCTTTAAAAATATTTCCGACATACATATTTTTATTCTAAATGATATTCTAATTCATACCACACACACAAACAACGCAAACATACACACAAAAAAAACAGAAACACACAAATATAAATACAAGGTTTGGAATTCACGTTATCCCGAATAGGTAACAGTTAATTTGATATAATAAATATTCAACAGCATGCAATTGGAGTCCTTCCCACTAATAAACTTAGAAGCAGAAGAGCCACCGATAATGACGACATGTAAAAGTGTCATATCGCACAAAGTTGAACATCGTACAATAATAACTAACTCATTAAATAACCGCTAATTATTCAAATTAAACAAACAATTAACATTGTAGAGATACAGTATCTACATACATACATATATATAACATTCATTCTGGCCACATACACAACTTATCAATTCGAACACCGAAGATAGTATAGGAAAGCCCGAAAAGAGGTTTTCTGTTCTATCATGCTTAAATGTTCTATCAGGCTAAAAATAAATAAAAATTTTGATTTTCAACTCAAGAAACTAGACAATGATTTACGATCTACCGTTAGAAAAATCGAAATATTAAACAGGAAGCTAACCAACGCGGAACATGCTGTGATATATATATATATATATATATAAATATATAAATATATATATATATATATATATATATATATATATATATATATATATATATATATATATATATATATATATATATATATATATGCTAATATTTTTATGGTTCGTATCACAATAAAACCTGTCGTCACGAGTAAAGAATAGAGCAGTGTTCGTTTAAAAGGTCCAGTTTTAAAAAATTAAAATACAAAAAATGTGAACAAAAAAAAAATGAAAAAATCTAAACAAGAGTTTTTTAAATTGTTCAATATATTCAAAAATTGGATAAAAAAAAGTATTTCTGAAAAATATACATATTAAAAATCGCTTGATTCGTGTGTGCTCCTCGAAACAGCGTTTACACACACACACACACACACACACACAAACTCAGACACACATACACACACACACGCACACACACATACATATATAATATAAATGTTTAAAAGTAATTTTCTCGTGATTTTATATGTTTTCATTTATAACTAATATAATAAATATAATATAATATATAATAATATAATATAATTATATAAATAATAATATAATATAATAACTAATATTTCTAACTATTTGACTCAGGCTCTGACGCTGGCACTAGCCAAAACGACCGTCAGCAAAAGCGTTGTTTTAAATAAAGTTGAATCTACCAATCTACGACGTGTTGAGTTATTATTCAAAAAAGTTATGACAACAAATTGGGGAATTATTTTTAATAAAACCTGCTTATCCGAAAGCCTCTTTCCAAATTATATATATATATATACACACACACACACACAAACATACTTTATAGATTATATATATTTATTTGTAATATACATATTGCATAAAAATAAATTAATATTAATGTTGTTTATGTACACTTTTTAAACACACACACAAAACACACACACAAAACACACACACACACACATGCAAACAAACACACACACAAACAAATATATACATACCTACATATAAATAAAATTTAGTTCATATAAAAATATAAAAATTATTAGATTTATTGTTCATTTTGGTCATTAGCATTGGATTGAATTCATTTGCATAGATGAACGGATCAACAAATGAACAGATGGATGGATGAATGAATGGATAGATAGATAGATAGATGGATAGGTAGATGGATTGGATAGATAGATGGATAGATAGATGGATAAATGGATGGATTAGATAAATAGATAGGTAGATGGATGGATAAATAGACGTATAATTAAAGCTACAAATAAACATTGCAGAAAAATTGGTTATAGGAATAGTAAGATGACTGAGTAGAAGAATGAATGAATGAATGAATGAATGAATGAACGAACAAAAAAATGAATTAATGAATAAATAAATGAATTATTTAATTAAATAAAAAATGATATACATACACAATAAATATATGTTTGGAAAGCTGAATAAACGAACCTCGCATAAATAAGTTAAATGTTTTATTTCAATCATCATGATAATCATAAACGTCATCATCTTTGTCTTCCTCCTCCTCTTCTCTATCATCATCACCATCATCATCATCATCCTTTCATCATCATCATCATCCTATCATCATCATCATCATTAACGTTATTGTTGTAACCGAAGTCACCTTTATTTTTATTACAATCAACATTCTCATCGCCATCATGATTCTTTTTATTATCACCATCATCATCAGCTTGCTCATCACCACCGTCGTCATCACCATCAACTAGCTCAGCATCATCATCACCATCATCGTCATCACCATCATCGTCATCTTTATCACCATCACCCTCATCGTCATCACCATCATCATCATCACCATCATCGTCATCGTTATCTTTATCACCATCACCATCATCGTCATCACCACCATCATCATCACCATCATAATCATTATCATCATTTTCATCATCATCATCACCATCAACTTGCTCATCATCATCGTTATCGTCATCACCATCATAAGACCCGGATGTTGTTCGCATTCCTGATCGTCTGCATGACAACGTATTCGGACGTTCCGTCGTTTCCATCTTTCCTCCCGCCGTCATGCTTTTGCTTAACTCTTACCATCTTCACCGACGGTTGTTCAATGATGACGTCATAGTTGCTACTTTTAGCATCATTATCACCGGCGTTATCATCATCTTCCTCTTCATCATCATCATCATCATGTTTGTTGTTGACGTCATCGTCGTCGTAGCCATCGTCATCTCGGTTCACATCGTCACCATCTTTCATTACGTTCTCGTCTGCATAGTTGTTTCTTTTCTTGTAATGGTTATTATTGTTATTGTTATTGTTATTTTTGTTGTTGTTGTTGTTGTTGTTGTTGTTGTCATCTCTGTTGATGTTGCTTGTGGAATCGCTAATGACGTATTCGTTGTCAGCCGGCATAACATTACTTCGATGTTGTTGAAGCGGCTGCCGTTGTTGCTGCTGCTGCTGTTTTTGAGAAGTGCTATTGATAGCCGCCAAGTCTCCCATAGCAGAATTTATAAGTGCTACGGCGGCTTTTTCACCAAACTCATCCACGCTTCTTACCCCATTATCGTAACCATCATCATCATCATCGTCGTCGTCGTCGTTGCTATCATCATCAACACCACCATCGTCAACTTTATAGTCGCCTCTATATTTGTTGATGACGTCATCATCTTTCCCCCTGCGGTTGCCGATGTTGTCATCATATCTGATGCCATATGTGTCGAAGCCATCTTCGGTATTATCACTGTTGTTTTTATTATCATTGTAGTTGTTGTTGCTGTTGTTGTTGTTGATGTTATCATTGTCATTCTCCTCCTTCTCCTCGTCATCATCATCTTCTCCATCAATGTCGTCACGTGATGACGCATTGTTCCGACCGGAAGTTTGATTCTTTGATACGTTCAGATTCGGTTCTTTGCTACTCTGAACAACGTCGTCAATGTTTATTTCTTTGCTATTATTTTGTTTACCATCAACTTCATCATAATTTTTATCATTACTATTATTATTATTATTATTAGTAGTAGTAGTAGTAGTAGTATTTAAATTTTTAGCCAACCCAGCACTATTTCCGGCCCCTTTGACGTCACCAACGCCGCTATTTCCGGTTTTCTTTTCCTTCTCCGACTCATTAAGGCCGATTTTCTGTGCCATTAATTCATTCAAATTTTTCCTGTTGTGCTCGGAGCACTGTCTCTTGAGCTCCTTTCGTTTCCTTCTATAACAGCAACATATCAAGAGGATCAACAATCCCACAAGGATTAATCCCAATCCCAGTCCAAGGCCCAGGCCGAGTCCCAGGGCGAGTGCTCTGCTGTTGTCGTTTGATGGCGAGGTGTAGTCAACGCACATGATGAACCATTTGGGAGTATCCGGGGCTATGGGGCCTAAGTTGATCTGGTTGGAAGGATGGTGGGGTGATGATTGTGAGGGTGGCTGTGCGTCACAATGGTAGTGGAAGTAAAAAAGTGGAATTTGTTTATAACTAATTGGAAAAAATAAATTTATTTAGAAGTTTATATATTTATACCCTATTGAAAGAATTATTTAATCAAAATGCTTGAAAAACAATAATCATGATTGTTTATTAAGTTATTTACTAATCAAATCAATAAAATGATTCGGCTGTTCAGTATGTTGTAAATGAATATGAAGCTGGAGATATCATTTTATCTATCCATCCTCCACCCATCAACCCAACCATCTATCTAACCAGTCCTCCCTAAGCCCATTCATCTTATTATCCAACTTTCCATTCATCTATCCGTCCATCCATTCATCCATCCATCAATCAATCCATCCATCAATCCATCCATCCATCCATCAATCCATCCATTCATTCTTCCATCTCACCACTAATGGATGCAGCTGATCGTTTGCAGAGCAGTAAAAATTTTTATTCTTAGGCAGGAGCGGGGGTTCGACAAAGGGTGGAAGGCACTCCAGCTGATTGGAGGCAGCGTCCTGAATCTGGCATTGACCTTGACCTAGTTCTATCAAGTAATCCGAACCGGAACTTCCGGCCAAGATGTTCGAACCCTGTTGTTGTTGATTTGATTGGTCAATTTTTTTATTATTCAGTTTCTTTTTGATGGTTTGCTATTCTTCGGGTAAAATTAAACAACAAAAATAAATTTAAGTATATCTCGGTTATCTTTAAAAAATTATTATTAATTATTAAATGCGTGGTCCAAAATGTTTACATAGAACATGTACTAAGAGCTTTTTAATGCAAATAACAACGAGATCACAAACAACAACAGAGGTATCGAAGCAAATTTGTATTTTTTTATGTATGTTTGTGTGTGGCCATGGGTGTTTGTTTGTCAGTTTGTTTGTATGTTTGTGTATGTACGTAAAGTTGTATGTTTGTTCGTTTTAAACGTGTCTGGTTAGTTATATATATACCTACCCACCTACCCACCAACCTGTCTGCAACAAATTTTTGTTAGAGTTCTTTATACAATATTAAAACATTTCAAATTTGAGACTTTTAAGATAACCGTTTTAAAAAGCACTCGTTCAGTAGTCAAGTGCTTTCTTATCGCACACACACACACACACACACACACACACACACACACACACACACACACACATGTACACACACGCACACATATATATATTTATATAATATTAATTATGGTCTTTTAGCAGAACACACACACACGCACGCACCTAAACAGAAACAAACACACATACACACATGTAGTCACTACACTAATACTCAAAACCTGAAAACAAACCAATAATAACAATCAAATTGTTATTAATTTAATGCGTCCGTCATATGTGTAACACAAGAGATGCCATTTAAATTACACACACAAGATATAATACACACAAACACGCACATATACATACACTCACACGCTCACACAGATATATGAATGTTGAATGTTGTATATTCTTTAATATTCAACTACTATATACAAATCTTTCCCTACATTGCTAGCCACCATTAAACTTTCTCTACACACACACATAGTAAGATGCACAGACGCACAATGATACAATTAGGCGCACACTCACATACACACTTCTACCTACATACATTAATAAATTATTATTAAACGCATATTCTTTCTTTCTTACTGTGCAGTCGTCAAAGTTTGTTTTTTGCTCACAAAAACGTTTATTCACACACACACACACACACATACACACACACACGCACGCACGCACACACGCATACACGCACACACACACACAGAAAGATATATAAACACAAATACAAAGACATATATCTGCAGATAATGCACAACCCAAAATTATTTATAGAACAAACAAAATTAACTATCATCACTTTTAAAATTATTTAATATTGTTATAAATGTTAATAATAATAATAATAATAATAATAATAGCGACAACGATAATAATAATAATAATATAATTAGCCATAATATTTTTATATATTCTCCAACCTTAATTTTGATAGTTTTCCTTGATTGCGGATCGTAATTATAAATTCCGGAAATGGTTTGAAATTCCGGAAGTGGGATTATGAAGTTGAGGATTTGTGGGCACGGGACGGATTTTGAGGCCAGGTTGCTGTTGAATGTGAAGATGATATCTACGCGAAGATCCGCGTTTGACCTGTTCTGACCATCTAAGATATCTCTCTTTGAGAGTTCTGTGTGTGTGTGTTTGCGTGTGTGCTTGTGTGTGTATTTGCGTGTGTATGTGTGTCTGTTTGTGTGTGTATGTGTTTAAATTCGTGTTCGTAAAAATTTTGTTGCTAAATTTTTATTTTTCGAAAAGATATTTTTATGTATACAATGTATAAACAATACAGAGAGAGAGAGAGAGAGAGAGAGAGAGAGAGAGAGAGAGAGAGAGAGAGAGAGAGAGAGAGAGAGAGAGAGAGAGAGAGAGAGAGAGAGAGAGAGAGAGAGGAGAGAGGGTTATATTTATTATTTATTTATTATATTATAGTTACAGGACACCATGACGAAGCTAGGCAGACAATCGCATGAATATTCGAGCTCGTCGAGCCAATTCTTTTGGCTTTTCACTGGCTTTCGATTTATCAAAGAGTTATTTTCAAGATATGTTTAACTGTTTTTATATGTATTGAGAAAGTTGCACCTAAATATTTAACCGACAGAGTCATTCCTAGAACAATGCCACTGCTGAATCAAACATTGCACTCTGACAATTCAGGTTTGCTATTTGTACCTGACACAAACTTGGCTTTTGGTCGAGGGAATTTCTCCGCAACGGGTCCAGCTGTCTGGAATGGTTTGCCTAGGGACCTTTGTGATCCTGTGTTGTCTGTTATTCAATTTCTTAAAAGGTTGAATCACCATCTTCTTGTCCAAGCTTACCCAGGCTAATGTCATTCCCTCTCCATTCACTGCACGGCTTTAATGAAGTGCTACACAATGTACCGCAATAATCGTTATAGCCTCTGTGATCTTTTTAAAGGGCGCTTACAAACACACAAACACACTAATAATAATAATAATAATTAATAATAATAATAATATGTATTAGGCATTACAAAACAATGCATTCAAAATGTAAGAGCTCGTCATGTAAGAGCTTGGTGAAGATATGTAAAGCAGTTAACAATTAAGTTGATAAACATGAAAACGGAAGAACAAATTTGAAAAAAAAACATATATGAACACGTAAGCATGAACAAACAAATAAAAAAACGAACGAACGAACAGACAGGCAAACAAACATACAAAAACAACGAACGAACATGCAAATTAATGAACAAACATGGATGTAAACAAACATATATAAAAACACAAATAAGAGCAACAACAAGACAGACATATACAAAAAACCGATAAACATACAGACAAACAAACAAGAAAATAATTACACAATATTTTGAACAAACAAACAAAAAATGAATAAACATAATCAAACAGACATACAGGAAACAAACATACACGTACAAACATATTTAAATACTCCCACACATACACGCAAACATACAAACAAACATACAAAACGACAAACGACACGCTGTTACCTTCACATAACTATCATACCGTCTATCATAAACTGCATCACAATATTACAAACTATCAAAATTATAAATAACTTATGGCATTATCATCAATACTATTATTATTATCATTCTTTTTTTTATTCTTCTTCTTATTATTATTATTAATGTTGGAACAGCAAGTTGCTTGACGCTGTAGTTGCCGTCCCCGGGTTTGAATACAAAGACACCCCACGACTATCACTACTTGCAACAAGTGCGACGTTTTTGATGATGGAGGTGTTGAGTGAGTAGTTCCATTAACATTGTTGGGATCTTCATATGATACGGAGACGCCATCAACGTATCTTACACATGTGTGAAGTTTGAGAGAGGGATTATCTTGAAAAGTTGATTTCTCCAGATGACCAATATAGAAGTTGGCGAAAAGACCACCTAGAGGTGAGCCACACCTCTAGGTGTTCGTTGTACAAATTTGTAACAATGACTTTAGCATGTGTTTAGGTATTTTTAATGGAGTTTGATTCGTTGTACAATTTTGTAACAATGACTTTAGCATGTGTTTAGGTATTTTTAATGGAGTTTGATTGGAGTTCTGAATGGTTGTGATTATTATGTCGATGTTATCTTTGATTGGAACATTGGTAAACAATGATTCTACATCAAGTGAAGCGATATGATTGGATGGCTGGTTTGTGTACATCAAACTTATTATTATTATTATTATGTTATTCACTCTATTGACATTCTTCAGAGGATTGTACTGTGATTAAATGCTTTTTTGAACAAATAACTTCTTTTTAACTCTCTTCTGAAATCTTTTTCTGGAACAATTTGCTTCAATCTTGTTAGATGATCATTCCATACCTTGGACAGAGCCACCTGCACACATCTGTCACCCAGTTTTGACCTGGTCCTAGGAATTCTTCAGAAGATTGTAGGTTGTAGTCATTATGAGTGTACCAAGTTAGGATTTTGTTGAGAAGCTTAGCTATAGGATATATAGCTATATATATATTTACAAATACACAAGATATTTACTCAGTGTGAGTTTAATACGTTCACTAACAGCAGGTTAAATAATTAATTTATTAAAATTATCGACTGTGTTGTGTTGATAGAGAACAAAACCAGCGGTTTTTTTTCTGTAAAGTTTTTTTTCTAACTTACGTACTTAATTTAAGTTTTGCTGTATGCGTGTACGTGTGAATATGTGAATTCATGCATCCTGAACACTTCATGTGACGGTCACTGAATGAAATGTTCCAGACTCAATATCTACACCTCGATACAACGTATTGGAGAGACATAGAGATAGGAATACGTAAAATTATGTCATGCTATACAAATGAATCATTCTTACGAACGATAGAGAACGATTTTCTATGTACATAAGTGTTGATGACGTCATTGCTGTCGAGGACAAGATTTCCATGGCTGCCTAAGAGGGAGTCACCGAAATTGGAAAGTGTATTTAAACCGTTCTGCTTGCCTGAAACAGTTCGCTTTGAGTGATGTCCTGTGTGTGTGTGTGTTTGTGTGTGTGTTGGTTTATGTGTGTATGTGATATGTGTGTGTTTGTGGACAAACCGACAAAGAAACATATATGCAAACAAACAAACTTAAAAAATGACAAAAGACATGCTGCTGGTAAGGTTTCAAATTGTCTTGAAACAACTACCATGCTGTTGGGCTTTACGTTCAAATGTACTATCAAGTTTAATTATGAACGACTTATTGTTTTTATCATTATTATTTTATGTTATTATTATTATTATTATTATTTAAATTTAATATTTTTATCAATACTTTTAATAATAATAATTTTAAAAATATTTTGTCGTTGTTATTTTCAGTTGGGTGTTCTAAGATGTTGTCTAATCAATTAAAAAATAATTAATTAATCAATTCATTAATTAACTGATTAACTAATTAATTAATTAATTAGCTAATTAATTAATTAACTAATAAATTGGCGATTTGTTATGCCGTATCTGTGCAAGTAGATGTGAATTTCTATACAAACTTTTCTTATTCCTCCTGTATGCCTTTGACGGGCTGCTCCCTACTTTTAATAAAACGCTACTTCTTTTCCTTCGACGTTTTCCGGAAGTGTTGTTGACGTCATTTCCGGCACCGATGACGTCATTTCCGGCACCGATGACAGTATTTCCGGAACCAACGAGAGTGTTAGTGTTAGCTGAGAGTAGTGGCATGAAGTTACTGTTGTTGTGTTGGGTAGAAACGGTTTTGTTGTTGATGAGATCGGTGATAATCAGGTGGGGTAGGGTGCAATACATTTGAGTCCGTGTGGCATTCGAACATACCTGTTTGTTGTTTGTGTGTGTGTTTGTGTGTGTGTGCGTGTGTATGTATATGTGTGATTGTATGTGTATGTATGCATATGTGGGTTTTATATGTGTGTCATTATGTGTGCTTGCCTTTCTATGGATATGTGAAATGTGTAAATGTTGATAATGACTAGATTAAGCCACATCACATGTGTCTTCTTTGAAGTAATTTGATACGTATGTTTAGCTGAAAATTTTTCAGATAAGATTTCGAGTTTAAATTCATTCTACTTTTAGTTGATTAATTAATTTATTTATTTGTTTTTTTTGGTGAAACTGTCAATAATATTGGTGAAGATATTTTTTATTATTTCATTAATCTGAAAATATTTATTCTACTAATATTCATGGTCAGCAAAGTTTTTCGCCGTATAAAAAAATTTCATTGACTGATTAACTGATTGATTGATCAATCGATTGATAGACTGATTAATTGACTGGTTAATTGACTGGTTAACTGATTGGTTGATTGATTGATTGATTGATTGATTAATTGATTGATTGATTGATTGATTGATTGATTGATTGATTGATTGATTGATTGATTGATTGATTGATTGATTGATTGATTGATTGATTGATTGATTGATTGATTGATTGATTGATTGATTGATTGATCGATCGATCGATCGATCGATCAGTAGTCAGAATTTTAAAAAGTCGTTTGCTATACACAGTAGTTTTTGTTAAAATCACATCTCAATCACTTATTTGTTCATTATTACTTGTCCTCTCAAAGTTAAGCCTGAATACACATACACACATATACACGCACACACGCACGCACGCAAGCACGCACTATAAAACAGCAACAAACTTGTAAAAAAACAACTGTAAAAACAAACAACAACAACAAACATTACAACAACAACATCAACATCTACCAACATTTGATCGGTTGAACTTGAGTACTTTCTGTTCCCAAATAAGGACCGTAACAATGGGAGGGACTTTCCATGTTAGGCCCGCCCCACTAACTGTCAATCTTATTCCACCACTAATTTCATGTGGACATTAAATTAATTTATTCTATACATTTATTGGTTTATTATTATTACTAATATTTTTGTTGTTGTTGCTATTATTACCAAAACAACCATACAACATCCGTAACATCAATACATCACTAAACTATAAAATGACGTCATAATTTTGTAACAATACGCCATTAAACAACAACAACAACAAAAACAACATAACTTAACCAAAGATACTAACACTGCAAAGATATTCTTAGGCGAAACATCGGTTATTACAGGATCCGGAATAACGAGAATCGAGATATTCGACTGAGAGTAGGATTGAACCGAATTATTGTACTTAAGTACCGGTCGGTAAATTCGTTCCTCAAGGGATGTGTAGTTGGATCTCAAGAGTTGGACGGTTATTTGGGAACTGAAGTTACGGTAATGAAGGTGGTGATGGTGGTTGATTGGATGGATACCAATAAAAATCATCATTAATTAAATTTTCATTATCAATTAAATCATCATCATAATCAATGAAATTATCATTATCATCACTATTGAAGTCATTATTATCATCCATATAATCATCCTCACCATCATTTAAACTCCATCAATAAAATCATCATCATCGTCGTTTTCATCATCAATAAAATTACCATCACCATCATCAATAAAATCATCATCATCAACATCATCATCAATAAATCGTCATCATCACCACCCACCATTATTACATTCACCATCACCATTACCACCCTCATAACATCTAACTTGTCAGCCTTTATAACGCTAGCATCCAGAACTCCAAACTCACTCTCAGACTCGAAATAAACTCCAGTAAGATACGAAGCGTTGAAATACCGAACGAATATATCGATACCGATGCCTTGCTGCACATCGCTATTGTATAGAACCGGCCTAGAGACACCGATCATGATTGGTTCTAAAGACGGCTGGGTTATATTTGCTGAGACGTATGGATAAGCTACCAAATGAAAATAATAATGATAATAATAACAATTGATAGTAATAAAAACAATAATAATAACAACAACAATAATAACAATAACAACAACAATAATAACAACAACAATAATAACAATAATATCAATGGTAACAATAACATTTGTATATATAGGCCAAAATTTGTTAATCATAAACTTTACCTCATATGATTATAAGATAACTGAAGACACTCAGAACAGAAACCATATAAAATTAATTAATTAATTAATTAATTAATTAATTAAAAAACAAATATGAAATAATTATCCATATTTAATTAGTTACATAAAAAATAATTAAATAATTACGGTTTTTTAGGTTGACCGCACAGTGGACAAGAGATTTCTGGTCAATAAGCATTGATGATGTGATGATGAAGATGATGATGGCGATGTTCTTTGGAATGGTGACGTTTGCGGTAATTTTGTTATTGTTGTTGTTGCGGTTTTTGTTGTTGTTGATGCTGCTGTTGTTGATGATGTTGTTGAAGTTGTTGCTGCTGTTGATGTTGTTGTTGTAGTAGTTGATAATGTTATTGTTGATGTTGTTAAAATTGTTGCTGCTGTTGATGTTGTTGTTGTAGTTGTTGATAATGTTGTTGATGATGATGACGTTGTTGTTGTTGTTGCTGCTGATGTTGTTGTTGTTGCTGCTGATGTTGTTGTTGTTGTTGCTGCTGATGTTGTTGTTGTTGATGTTGTTGTTCTTCTTCTTCATGACGTCATTGTTGTTTTTCCATCGGTGAAATATTTTCACAATCATTTTTTTTTTCTCTAATTTATTTTTTAAAGTCTCCAGGATCAAATGATATTAATAATGATGGTGATGACGACGATGATGGGCCGTATTCACATCGTTATTTATTCTATTTAATAATAATAATATTAACAATAAATTAATCTAATTATCTGTTTAATTACATTATTATTATTATTATTATTATTACTATTATTATTATTTTACACTGATGATGGAGAAGATGATCGTGAAGATGATGATAATAACGATAGGATAATAATAACTATAGATAACGATAAGGAAAATGATCCACAATGATATTAATAATGATAGATAATGATAAGGATAATGATATATACATAATAATGATGATATATCATGATAAAGATAATGATATATATATATATATATATATATATATATATATATATATATATATATATATATATATATATGTATATGTAACGACATGATATGATGTTACTAAAAATAAAGACGGCTATGATAACCATTATCATTACAAAACTATACAATAGAAATAATAACAGAAATGATGATGATGATGATTGATGATGATGATGATTGGTGATGATGATGACGATGATGACAAATTATCATCATTTGCAATGAAGATGAGACTTCGACAAATTTGAGTAAATTTTCATTTGAAAGAATCTTCATCAAATGAGTGAAATGGCGAAAAAAAGGAAACCATCACCATCATCATCATCATTATCAACAACAATAATGACATAATCATCATCATCAATAACCATAACATCAACATCAACATTAACAATCCTAACAGCATCCTAACATACTTAAAATCATACATGAATGGTTTATTAAATACACACAAACACACACATAGAAACACACACACACTCACACAACATAGATACAACGTAATAAAAAATAAACAGGCGAAAATACAAATGAAAATACAAAAAACCATACAACCATATAAACAAACCAAATTGTAAACAAACAAATATAAACACAAATTCAACTAACTGGTATTCAGCGCAAATAAGCCAAGCGAAAAAATTGATTCATCGTTCAGGTTCCTGTATATAAATATACTATTATATACAAATATATATATATATATATATATATACATATATATATATACATATATATATATATATATATATATATTATACAATATTTATACATATACAATTATTTGTATGTGTATCTCATATATATTTCATTTACATGTACAAAATTCGTACAACAGACAGATCAACAAGCATGTGATGAACCTCACTGTATCAGCCTATAACGTGCATTTGCATAAAGAAAGATACATTCATACAAACATACATACATACATACATACAAACATACATACATAATACATACATACAAACATACATATACATATAAATAAATATATATATATATATATATATATGTATATTTTATACATGTGTGTATGTGTGTTTATATTTATACATATAACACACACACACAATAAAAGGCTTACTTTATTGTTTAGTTGTTGTTGCCGTTTCGGATTATTAATGTTTTCTAAAAAGTGTATTATATATGTAAATATGATCATGCATATATATATATATATATATATATATGTGATCATGCATATATATATATATATATATATATTTGTGTGTGTGTGTTGGTTAGTATGTGTGTGTTTGTATATAGGTGTGTTTGCATACATATACATGCATACATACACCGCCGTCGGAGTTCTTTCGTCTCGAGAGACGATGGTGAAACTATAACCAATGTTAGTGATTCCTACACCGCCGAGAATGACTAAGCAGATTAGGCAGCTAATAGCTAAGCAGCCTTTATTTTTGTACAGCGTGATAATGTTGGCATCTCTCATTTCTTGAGGGATGTGATCCTGCTCCCAGCAAAGACAGAAAAACGCATGCAGTGGCTTCAACGGTGACCCTTTCCTATTTTTTATGACCTCCGGAGAGATGCTATCACCCCCAGGCGCTTTTCCTCAGGTTAGGCGGTCGATGTCTTAGTTGAGCTCTTCTTCAGTAGGTAAGTCATCCAGCTCTACCATAGCAAGTAGCTATAAGATGGAGTTGGGAGTGGTGTCAGTCACAATATTAGTTACCGCATACAGTTCAAGAATGTGTTCCCTCCACCGCTACATTTGCATAGCGCGATCGGTTATGATCATACCTGTTTTTGACCTGATGGGAACTGACTTGGCAAGGATTAGGCCTATTGCTCTCTTAATATCCTCATACATAATTCTTTTGTTTGCCACATCGGCAGCCGTCTGAATACTGCCGCAAAGATCCATTTAGTAAGAGTTGGCACAAACAAGTAAAAGTGTTTATAATGTATTTTATTTACGTAATACTAAAATTAACAAAAACGAGTTCAGCTATACAATTTGACGAAGAGAAGTTCGATTGTAAAACGTAGCGAGAAAGGAAGTTCCCTTTGATTTCAAGCTATATATAGCAAGTTGTCACATGCTCAAATTAGCTCCTATTTTTTTCAGTGTCAACTTCCTTAGCTTTTTCTTATAAAGGTAATAACAAGGCAGCTATGTTCCCATTTGCAGAGGTTTCCTCTGACCACTCTAACTTTGGCCAGCACAGGAAAAGATGCAGGCTCTGCGTGTCCGGCATGCGTAGCGCTACCAGGTTAATCGTACTCAGCTTTCAAGTAATCTAGGCTTGTGATTAAGCACGGCCTCAGCATTTGGCCTACTCGTCGTCTACATCTCCAACTGAGCCGTCGCCCATCTACCATCCATCATCTCATCTATGTTTTAACCTATGTTAGGGTCTGTGAATTTTATGGGATTTAATCATCACACACACACACACACACACACACACACACACACACACACACACACACACACACACATAGAAGCACTACATATAGTATTGTATAGCAGCAACAGTATGTATGTCTGGACTTCTGAAGTAGGGATGGATGCCTGAAAAATTGAATCTATGTAGTTAGAATTAGTTCTTATTTATTTTTATTTTTCTGGATTTATTTATTTTTTATTGATATTGTGATTATTATTTTCATCATTATGCTTTTCGTGCAATTATTTTTATTATTGTTGATGTTATTCTTATTATTATTCTGTTTCTCTAGTTAAAAAAATTTCTCGTCTTAGTTGAATGAATATGGTTCCAACTGCTGCAACATGTGCTAAAGTACTTATTGTTAGATGTAATTAGTCGATTTCATTGTACATATATGTTTACAAATACAAATTATATGCTAAATAAATAACTTTTTGTCTCTCTTTCTTTCTCTCTCTCTCTCTCTTTCTCCATCTCTCTCTCTCTCACACGCACACACAAACCTACACGCACATATATAAACACAAGCACTAATAAACTTTATAATGTTATTAAATTCGACTTAATTTAATTAAATCAAGAGAAGGAGTTATGATAACGAATGGCGGGATGAGATGAGGGGAATGGGAGGCACGCGGATGTACCAATCAACATCGATCAAATCTTGTATTTTAATTCAATTTAACTTTAAAAATTGGACTTTGACAGATGGCAAATCTGTTTCAACATGCAAAATGACAATTTTGTTTTTCAACTTTATTTTTTTTACCATTATGAAACCCTGTACCTCTGAGGTCAGTTAAAAAATAAAATTATCTGTCATCGTCTTTTCTCCGAATCACTTTTGATTAAAAAATCTTCTAAATGGTAATGATGGAGATGACGACGATGATGAAAATGATGTTGATGATGTTATTGGGATGGTGGTGTCAATGATGAGAATGATGATAAAGATGATAGTAAAGATTGGGGAAAGGGAGCTTTGGGAATGTAAACCTTCACAAAATCTAATTTTCTCACAATTCATGTATAAATATTCATTCTTATAAAATTTTTCTCAACAAGTTTTGGCAACGAATTGTTTTGCTAACACTACTTTACAATGTGGTGTTATGATTGTATGTATTGGATTGTATGTATTGTATGGACAGATGCTGCGACCAACCTCAATTGATAACTAAATCTCTGTATGTTTGTGCCAGTGATACATTTGGTAATTCAATAAAAAAAATTAAACATTAATTATTAACATATAATTAAATTAATAAATTTATTTATTTAGGATTAAATCTTGAAAATATATTCAGCAGGTAGAAATTTTAGGAATTATACTTCTACAGTTTGCTACAAAATTTAAATTTCCACAATGATTGAAGCAGTTTGTGTCTCATAGAGTGCAGTTAAGAGAGTCCAACACAAATTTTAACTTTTGAATTGATTTTAAAAATGAAATTTAATTGACGAAAATGTACTAAAATTCGTATATAACAATATATAACTTCGTTAATTAATTTGCGTTTATCAGCTGGTAAGCGTGTTTCTCAAGCTCTCTTTATCATTCTGGCTGGAGGGTGGCTATACAAGCCATCAAATACAATACAATATAAAAAAGAACACAGGACAACAAAATTTTTAAAATTTATCTTCTGACATCGTCAATCAGCACACAGAAATAAACTTTTTAGAAAATAATATCATTCAAGTAATTATGAATAAAATTAATTTGATTAAAAATTTAAATAGGGTAAACATTGATACATTAAATTAGGATTTTAATTCATCTTTTCAGATCACAAAACAATTACAGATAGAAACATGACATACATACACGTACACAGGATGCATTCCCATCACGGAAACTATCCCATAAAGCTTGTTCGTATTATGAATTTTCAGGTATTCCATAAAACTTCTCATTTGCATAAATACCTTATGTATGTATAAGCTTTTATACATTTTAGAAACAATTAATAAACATCGACACACACACAGACAGAAACACACACACACACACAAGCACAAACACGCACATAAACATGCTGCACACAGACGCAGACATGGAACGCATACAACATTAATTTATAATTATTTATGCTTACCGTTTAATTGTTTTTAATTTTATTTACATGAAAATAAAATTAAATAAATTGGGTTGATTTGTATTTTAATACAAAAATACTTCAAAAATAAAACTCGCGTACGTACATGCATACATAAAATTCCAAGCACTGCTTTACAAACACATAAAGGAGTTTGACATTAAGACTATATACAATATCTACGCATACAAACACACAAATAAGCATAAACAGACATAAATCAACACACATACACGCACAGATTCATGCCCGTAACATCACCTTCAAGTGACACAAACGATCAAAAGCTGTTTAATAAAAGCCTAAGAACCTCAACACACTCAATCAACCAACAGAACAAAACAACAAATCTATACGTCCAACATGTCAGCCAACTTGATTCAAAACTCGAATAGTCATTAAATTTCGCCAGAAGTGACCAACTGACCAATCAAACGATTTTTTAACCGCTAAGCTAACCCATCAGCTGATTAGTCATCCCACCAGTAAAACCCAAAGCACACGCCAACCTCGACGATTTCCAACATCTTATTTTACATCCACTAGGCAGGCTCAGACTTTTGTTTTAATGTAAGAATGTCCGGGCCCGGATAATACAAAACAAGATGCAAGCAACATCAAGGTCGCCAGTCCTTCAAAGTTCATCAAATGTAAGTCTTCGGCTTGTCGTCATCGAACGTAGGACACACGAAATCGCCGACAATGACGACGTTCTTGGTCGGTCTGATCGAACGCTTTCGCCACCTGTCGACTCCGTCCAGATTCACATTCTGGTAAACCGAGACCGACTCGGGAATCAACATTTTTGGCTGGTGTGGTGGCTGGATGGTGGTCGCAAAGCTTGGCTGGCCAGCCACCGAAGGTTCTGGAGTTACGGGGTTGGAGGCATTGTTGCCAAGCTTGTAAGAGGGATAAAGAGACTGGCTGTCCCATAAATAACTTGTTGGGCGGTTGTAGACAAACCCGCCAGCACCACCATGGGGACCGCCACCTCCTCCAAAGCCCAGATGACTTGTGATGCCGGTGTGTGGGTAGGAGACTTCAAATTTGCGGGCTATCTCGTGTAGGAGGATGTTCTGCTGTTGCAAGGTCATGGTCAGGACCTTTATGCTGTCGGAGTGTCGTGGGGAGGAATTTAACGGTTGAAGGTTAAAGGTTAATTGTGGTGTTGAAAAGTTTGACAATGATATATGGTAAAGTATTAAACTTCTTTATGAAAAAATATTCTAAAATTAAAGTTTAAAATGATGAAAATAATAAAAGTGATGTTAACGAGAAAAAAATTATTTTGATAAATTACAGCCACCAACATCATTTATAATCATCATCCTCATCATCATCATCATCATCATCATCACCACTAGCATCATAACCATCACCGTAATTATCATCAGTAGCCCCGTAACAATCATCATAATCATCACCTCTGCTGTTGGGCTTGTGTCTTCTCGATGAGGGATTCCAGTCTGGAGGTCGTCTTGTCCTTCTTCTCCGCCTCGATGAACTGCACCTTCCGACGCTGACCGAAGCAGGTTAGCTGTATGTGTGTGTGTGTGTGTGTGTACGTTGTGTGTGTGTGTGTGATTGTTTGTGTGTGTTTGTAGAAGTATGTGCATATGCGTGTGTGTGTGATTGTGTGTACGTTTGTGTGCTTGTGTGTGAGTGTGTGGGTGTTTGTTTGTGTATGTTTGTAAAAGTGTGTGTGTGATTGTGTGTACGTTTTTGTGTGTTTGTAGATATGTGTGTACGCTTGTGTGTTTGTGTGTGATTGATTGTGTGTACGTTTTTGTGTGTTTGTGTGTGATTGATTGTGTGTACGTTTGTGTGTCTGTGTGTGTGCGGGTGTTTGTGCGTGACTGTGTGTTAATTTTTGCGCATGTGTGTAAGTAATTATGTATGATCGTGTGTAAAATGTATTAATATGTACGTGTACACACAAACCTAGACAAAGAAATGTTAAATAGAATGACGTTGCAAGAATTGAAATTAAGTGAACATTTAGACCCAATGAACATTTAGACCAAATGAACCTTAGACGAAATTATCAGTTAACGAACTAACAAACCGACCGACCAACCAACCAACCAACCAACCAACCAACTAACCAACCAACCAATCAACCAACCAATCAACTAACCAGCCAAAGCCAGCCAATCAATCAACCTACAAACCAACCAATCCAATTAGCCAACCAACCAGCCAACCATCCAACCAACCAGCCAACCAACCAGCCAACCAACCAGCCAACCAACCAGCCAACCAACCAGCCAACCAACCAGCCAGCCAACCAGCCAACCTTGGCACATTTGGACTCTGGCTCCTCATTTGGCTTGATGGCTGTCCGCCGGATGTGGAATTTTTTCTGCAACAACCTCGGCATGTTGTTCTCGATGTTGTACATCAAGTCGACCTAAAATAATAATAATAATAATTATTATTATTATTATAATTATGATAATAATAATAAAGAACCAGTATGCTAATTATAACAGTGGTTATGAATTATGATGAGTATGACGAAGACGATAATAATGATAACGAATGATGATAGTTGAATGATGAAGAAGATAATGGCGATAATGAATGAAGATAATTGAATGATAATGAAGATAATGATGATAATGAATGATGAAGAAGATAATAATGATAATGAATGATGATAGTTAAATGATAATGAAGATAATAATGATAATGAATGATGAATGTTAAAAGATGAAGAAGATAATAATGATAACAAATGTTGAATGATGATGATGACAATAATGATAACGAATGATGATAGTAAAAAAATGAAATTAGAAGTTCGAAGAAACCTGCAGGCCGATTCTTTTCAAGTAAGCATTTCGTTGAATCTTCTCAATGTCGCCAACTGCTACACCTATCTATTTGATTTTAACATAATTATTAATATAATATTAAATAAATAAATATGATAATAATAATTATTAATATAAAATCATCTTGAATTACCTATCCATCCAACACCCCATCAATTTATCCATCCATCCATCCATTCATCCATCCATCTATCCATCCATCTATTCCATTTATCTACCCATTCATCTACCCCTCCATCCATCCCATTCATCCATCCATCCATCCCAATCATCCATCCAACTGACCATGAGATTCATCAAAGCGATTGGCATGAGGAAGACGAAGATGATGATGAGGACGTCACCGTCAACCCGGAAAATGGTCAGTGCCTGCTTCAGTTCAAGGTAGTTGACCTCTCCCAGGGTCATTATCAGGACGCTGATGATTGACGTGAATATGTCCTCAAAAGAACCCTGGATTGTGATTGGTTGGTTGACTTGATGAATGATGATTGGCTGGTGAAATGTGATGAATTGATGAATGATGATTGGCTGATAAAGATGATTGTTTCCAAATTAAGCTGAAAAAAATAAATTTTTAATTAACTTTAATTTAATTGGATAATTAACATAATTTATTAATCAAATATTTAACAAATCAAATAGTTAATTTAAAGATTATTCTCCGGAAATTGCAAAGACTTACAGATCTTGGCCAGATGATGAAGAACGAACTGACGAACGCTCCGCAAAACATCATGAAGACGAGGATGAGCTATAATTAGATTGGTGGGAGGAGTCAGGTAATTGATTAATTGATTGATTGATTAATTGATTGATGGATGGACTAATTGATTGATTGATGGACTAATTGATTGATTGATGACTGATTGATTGATTGGCTGGCCGGTTGGTGAATTGGTTGATCAATAACTCACTCATTCATTTACACACTAACTGACCGACTGACTAACTGACTCACTCACTCATTCACTCACTCATTCACTCACTCACTCACTCACTCACTCACCTTCACCAAACTGGTTAGAACTGAAACAAACATGATGACGTAAATCCCCAAGAAATCAATCCTTTAATTTTTAAGGATATGATTGAAATGGTTATTATTAATTTAATATATCTTCATCACCATCATCATCATTGTTATCATCATCGTCATCATCACCATTTTCATCGTCATCATCATCAACATCATCATTATCGTCATCGTCACAACCATCACCATCATCATCATCACCATAATCATCATCGTCGTCATCATCATCATTGTCATCATTATCGTCATTGTCATCATCATCATCACCATTCTCATCGTCATCATTATCGTCATCATCATCAACATCATCATCATCATCGCCATCTCCACCTTCTCAGGTACATGATGAAATTTATCCAGGCAAGGAACATAGCCACCCAGGCAGCCCTCCACCTGGCCAAAATTATAAATCATCATCATCGTCATCGTCGTCATCATCATCATCATAATCACCATCATCATCGTAATAATAATTATAATCATCATCATCATCATCATCATCCTTATCATCGTCATCAGCATCATCATGATCACCATCATCATCATAATAATAATAATCATCATCATAATCCTTATCATCGTCATCATCATCATCATCATAATAACCATCATCATAATAATAATAATCATCATCATCCTCATCCTTATCATCATCATCAGCATCATCATCATAATAATAATAATTATCATCATCCTTATCATCATCAGCATCACCAGCATCATCATCATCATCATCATAATAACCATCATCATAATAATAATAATAATCATCCTCATCATCATCATCATAATAATAATAATCATCCTCATCATCATCAGCATCATCTTTTCCACCTATCAAAGAATTGCGAGTCGAAGAGGAAGGAAACAGTAGCCAGCATCAGCAGCCACACGATTGTGTTGTAAATGTTCAAGATGTAACGCCATCTCTGTAGTAATTATTTTTATTATTATTATTATTAGTAGTAGTAGTAGTAATGATAGTAACAGTAGTAGTAGTAGTAGTAGTAATAGTAGTAGTAGTAGTAGTTGTTGTTGTTGTAGTTGTAGTAGTAGTAGTAGCAGTAGTAGTAGTAGCAGTAGTGGTAGTAATGGTAGTAATAGTAGTAGTGGTAGTAGTGGTAATAATAGTAGTAGTGGTAGTAGTGCTAGTAGTAGTGGTAATTGATTCTTAGAGCTATCAACAACACACGCATTGTAATAATTATGATGATTTTTGTTATTATTATTATTATTATTATTATTATTATTAATAGGACGATGTTTATGGTAATTTTGATTGAAGCCGATGTATATAGTTTGAGTGTAGAGGGTATTTACAAAGGTATGTGTGCATAATATTAATAATAGTGACAATGATGACGACGACAATGATGATGATGATGCCGAGAAGAAAAAGATGGAGAGACGATAGTGATGAGATGGTGATGATGATGATGGTGGTGGTGATGATGACGATGATGGTGATGACGATGATGGTGGTAAGGATGATAATGATGATGATAGTGGTGGTGACGATGGTGGTGGTAAGGATGATAATGACGATAGTGGTGATGATAACGATGGCCAAAACCTCACCTGACTTAGGATTTTGATGAAATCTCTGACGAAGAATACGGCGACAAATACGTAGAGGAAGACTGTTAAGATTCGCTGGGTGGCATACTGTGGGTGAGGCTGGTGAGGATACAGAAGATGAAAAAGATGATGATGAAGATGAAGAGGTGGAAAATGAAGATGAAGAAGAGAAAGATGAAGAAGATGAAGATAAAAATGATACAAATAATCGCACCAACCCGACTCAGACAAGTTAACGGTGACTGAAGACATTTACTACTATTATCATCACTACCACTTCTATAAACCGGAAGTGATTCACCCATTTCCGTTTCCTCCAATTTGCAGTTTGTGGTAGAGATGTTAGTGTGGCTGGGGGGGCAGTCCTGGTATTTGATGACCACCAGGGCAGTCAGACAGGTCAGGTAGCCGATGTAGGTCAGCAGGTTGATGATGAACATTGACCGACCGAATCTGACCCTGGTGTTAAAGGTTAAAGGTCATGCCCATTTATTTCAATCCCGATGAATGGTGATTTTTTTGAGTAGGTTGGTGTTGGTGTTGTATGGAATGGTGTTTGGTGTTTTTTGCAAATTTTAATTTACAAACTGAAAATTAAATGTGAAATATCTAATGACATTGCTGTTGTTGTTTTTTGATGTAATTGTTGATGTTGAAACTTTTGTTGTGGTTGTTGTTGTTATTGTTGTGTTTTTGTTGTTGTTTTGTTGTTGTTAATGTTGTAAGTTTAGTCAATGCTTTAAGCTATACTGTAAAATAAATTGCTATAATTTCAATAAACTATATAAAAAACGACGAACCATTTCTGGAAGAGTAAGTTCTGACAGAGTGGATGTGACAAGAGAACATCCCGCCCATGGTGGACCATCGTCTTAAAAACATGTATAAAATTTGCATAAATTAACATAAATTACCATAATTTATATATAAATATGAGTGTATATATATATGTATATATATGTATATATATATATATATATATATATATATATGCAATTATTGATGAAAATCACAGCATGTTCCACGTTAGTTAGCTTCTTATTTAATGTTTCGATTTTTCTAACGGTAGATTGTAAATCGTTGTCAAATTTCTTGAGTTCGAAACCAAAATTTCCAACAACAATACAACAACAACACAACCACTAACAGCAACATTAACAACAACAACAACGCCAACAACAACAACAGTAACAACAACACAACAACAACACGATAACAACAACGCGACAACAACAACACCAACATTAAGAGCTAGATATCTGTTGCGCTGACTGCTGGCGTCATCGGGGCCTGGGTCAATGTACTGGTAGTCAAATATCATCTGTTGTTTATTATTATTATCATTATTATTATGTTTATATTATTTTTGTTGGTGTGTTTCGTTTTATTAGTTTTTGTATGCACCGCTTGCAACTCAAAGACAGTTTTCAAATTTCGGACAGACAGTATTCGAACC